TCCACCCCCTCCACACACACCCTGATGTGGAAGGTGTACAACCTGTGCCCAGAAACATGGAGAAACGTCGCTTCATAGACAGCAGTCAAAAGACAACCAATTGAACTGTTTTATTAAGGTGACAGTATTATCATTTATTTTTAAATTACATAGCATACTTCCTAGTCCATGCTCGAGCCAAGACATCATACCTTGGCCTATCTTTTATGTACATCTCCCACATTTCTGGGATCAGAACAACGTGTGGGTTGGGCTCACATAACATGGCATGGATTGACAGCAATATTTTAGAAATTGTGTGTCCAGCAGACCACTCAGAATTAAGGATGGGCAGACCAATGCACCCGTTATGATTTACATTCGGATGGTAAATTCGGGTTTTGAATAGAATCTTGGGAGGTTTGAAAGGGTACTCCTTCGGGAATTGGATACTCAGGAAGAAGGCTCCTCCGTGGTAGGGGCTCTCCTGGGGCCCCAGTAAAACCCCCTGCCATGTGAATATATCTTCTTCCACTGGCCCTGCGGAGCAAAAGTCTAGGGGGTCTCGGGAAAGGTCGAGGAGCTCCTTCTGGAGGCGCTTTAGGGCCAGGGACTGTGCCACGGGGCCAGTCTTCTCCGCGAGGCTTCCTGATAGGTGAAAGTTGGGGGGAGACCACAGTTAGGGAGATCAGCAACCCACCAGGTCAGCAGATAAGCAGGTAAAGCCGGGCTCTGGGGTGGAGGGGGAGATCGGGGACAGGGATGATATTGGAGAGGAGGGTTGAGGAAGGAGAAATGAGAACCCACAGGGACTAATGGGCTTCTAGTCACCTGTGTCTTGCACAGCTGCTGGCTCCGCCACCTCCGGGTTCTCCTGATCTGGACTCTGCTGCTCAGAGGCCATGCTGCCGGTAAACACCACCTCCAGGGACGGGGCCGCTCCTGCTCAGCGCCGCCTGGTCCTGCCGCTACTGGCTGCAGTACACATTGGGTTGCTTGGCAACAGTAAGGGATCTATTCTGTGTGGTCACAGGGGTCAAGCTGATGACATCACCCAGTGAATGTCCGTTAGCGAGCGTAAGGTCAAAAGGTGGCCAGAATGGAGGGGAGCGGAAGGCAGGAGGGACCATGGAAGGGAATGGAGGGGGGGGGTTGAGTTCGGGAGGGTCCAAGGAGAGCAATGGAGAGGGGTCGAGTGCTAAGGGGGGGACC